CTCAACCACATCATCTAAAATAATAGTCTGGGAATCAAATAGGAAGAAGGAATTCAGTGAACAACATTAGTAGCCTCCCTGTGATGTTGTTACTTAAACTCCCCAAAGACAAGAGAGTTATTTAGATATGAATAAGCCTTTAAGATTTGGTATGAAGTCAGGGACCCAGCTAAGGGCTGGGAGAGGTGCTTAAGGAACAATTCCAACAGTAGTGGCAGTGGAAGACTTGAATTGTGGGTCAAATATCAGTAAAGGTACCTAGAATAAATTAGCTATTGAACTACACAGAAATACCTGAAAGATGACGAGACAAGGCCAAAGACACTTAGAGGCTGTAAAACGGGTCATACATCTCCAACTGTCTTTCACGTTGGCATATCATCAGATTGAAAAATTGCCAGTGAGAAACACTTCTAGATGTAAAAGTACAAACTCCGTAAGAAACAGCCATGAAATCTACGAAAAATTGATTTGGTTCTCATTTACTGTGGTATGTCACAAGAGGCAGGTATAAAGGTCAAGGGCAAACTCATCTTGTGGCTATGTGCTAAACATATTGGATGGGATGCTGCCATGAAAAAGGTTGGTATTTTTGACCAAAGATGCTATCTTCTGCTGGGTTTTGTTTTTTTTTTCTGAGTATGTTCATAGAAATGGCATTACCTTGTAATTCATTAGGATTACGTCAAATTACTTAGCTTTGGCATTTATTTCTCCCTTGCAATGGAAACTGTCTGCAAGTGCTCAACCCTGGCTATCCAGCTGGGTCAAAAACGGAAACAATATCTTGCTAAAATATGTTGATATTGGCAAGGATCTATTCAATGTATCGCCACAATAATAAATTTAAATAGAGACACAAAAAGCAAGCTTGCTAGTGCCAAAACAACCGGCAAAATAAAGCTCATTTCATATTCTCAATATGGCAAGTAATAAAAAATATCTGTTAACAATCAAATCAAGCTGACAAAGCCATGTTAAAATGGCTTGGAATAGAGACAAAAAAAGATCAGAACAGATACAGAGAGACAATATGCACTGGACTGTGAAGCCCACTTTCTGTCATCACAGGAAGAGAAATAAAAACCAGCATGATGTGCATTATTACTCTCATCTATTAAAAGAGTGGGGAAGATAGTTAAAATATTAAATAAAGATGGACAGACGATATAAGGAATTACAGTTCTGTCAAAGATGTGTATTTCTTTCTTTGTTCAGAGTTAGTTCTTCGGTCTGAACACTTTCTTCCTCACCCATTCTTAATTAGAGCTGCTTGTATGTATTTACACAGGGCCTAACACAACATAGACTCCCTAAACAATAGCCACTATAATAACATATTACTCTGCTGAGTGGGAGAACATAATTGAGATGCCTTAAAGTCTTCCAAAAGCATGGGTAATTCAAGGATGCCAGGTAACTAAATGGTAGCAATATCTTTCACAGTTCAAAAAAAAAAATAGTACCCCTTTGGACAAGCTTTTCAATGCACCATCTTCCACAACTGAGAAGTGGAAATCACTATTTATTTTTTTTTTAAATACACATTTAGAATGCAATGTTTCTGAGCATTACAACTCACTAGTCAAGTCTAGTACACACTGTAACACCACTAGGGTGACTAGACCCTTACTGATCATTTTCATCAATTTTGTTTTAATCTATGGCATCAAACAGATACAAGATATGCTTTTGTACCTGGGCATGTAGGTTCATCAAAGTATTCTAATATTAATCCATGTTAAACAATACCAGACTATATAAGCTTCCCAGCTGAATATTAACCCTGGTTCCCAAACTCCTGAAAGTGTAAGAAAACTTCCATATGTGAGAAAGTTGTCAGCTGATACTCTTCTTTTTTGTAGGATGGAAACAGATAGCCACAAGCACATGCACAGTTTAATACGGGAAGAAGTACTTCAGTCACTAAATTATTATTATATGCTTCATTTGCCCATTGAAAAGTGCAAGGTAAATTCTTTTTCTTTTTTTTTTTTAGTTTTATTTTTTAAGTTACATTGTGTCTTTTGAGAGAAATAAAAAACAGATTTGTGTTCATTTTGCAAAAACACAACACACCTTTTCTTAAGGACTGTAGATGGGAGTTAGCAAGGCTTTCAGACTGACAGCGTTACCAAAATGGTGAAAGAAAGTATGTGATAAAGAAATATGGCATGCAAGAAACTGCAATCTTGAGATTTTGCTTTGCTTCCTTAACTAATCAGGCAATAGCTTACATAGTTTCCAATGACTTGTGACTATACAAGGATACGGAGTTAATACAGGCCTGTGAGGTCTCAACACACTGTGACAGTGTAATTAGTGAAAAAAAGGTGGGAATAAGGGGTACCTCCTTCATCAGATGGCCTTGTTACCTCACTGCAGTAAGAAAAGGTAGGGTTCGTGTCAGAGCCATCTGATTTATAATCTCCCAAACTGGTAGAATGTAAATACTGCTTACTGTAACGGCTTGCTCTTTCTACAAGGTAGAAAGAAAGAATAACACAGTAACTAGATAACAGAAGTGCAAAGATGAGCAACAACAAAAACCCCAACACTGCTAACATTGATATTCATACGCTGATGGCATTAAAATTAGAGAAAAGTGAATTGTTCACAATTGTAACCATTTTGAAAACCGTTAGTTGAAAAGGTTGCTTCAAAATCAGAGACAACAAAACTCATTCTCTGCTTTAAAAGAATGTCAGAAATGGAAGGTTAGATTGAGATACTGGGGAAAAAAGGGATCAAGATGAAGCATATGAATATTTCCAGTGGAAAATAAAAATGTTCCTTCATCCAAGCATGCATACGAGTGCATGTGGAAATACTGCTGTACGACATTCAAAAGAATATTTAAAGTTTCACTATTAGTAGCAAAGAAAATGCATGCACAAAATTAAACATTCAAAATAAACACTCTGGGGGTGAAAAAAATCCAAAAACTTGTACAGCCAAAACATTGCTGCCTATTATTACATTATCTTCTCTCCTTTTCCATCTACCTTTAAATTACGAACACAGTGGAGTTGCAAACAATAGGACAAGGCGTAATACCATGTGCCATATAAGCAAAATGTGCATAGAAAAGAAATAAATTTCATAAACAGGCCACCTTCCATATCTCTGAAATCTTAATAAGGTCCAGCTATTTGAAAATTCTGCTTACACTGAGGACAAAGCAGGTCAATGTTTTTTAAGTGACAACTTGTAAGTGGTATGAATAGTTGTTGTTTAGGATAAGATTTCTTTCACTATTTCTTATCTGCACATGTGATTACAGCTGAAGTTCCTAAAAAACACAGCTTTTAAAATACTACACATTATATATATATATATATATATATGAAAACATACTTATAAAACATATGGCTGCCACATTGACCTGAAAATTCATTGTATCAACTTAGATTCATAAACATAAAAAGCTTGGGAAATGTCAGGATATAAGCAATACCAGAAAGCATATGCAGACTCCTAGACTGAATATTGTCCTCCAGAGGATCAATGTCGAAGATGGAGCCAGGATCTGTGCGCCAAACTTTAAGATCTTTTCCCAAAGCACAGAAATTATAAGACAGACAAACAACAAAGGAAGTAAAAGCATGAAAGGAATGAGTTTTAACAATCAGCAACTAATTTCCTTCATCTAGAAATTAACCAAAACATCTAGATATTCACCTGAAAGGACTGGAAAGCATTTATTTCCTGCTTAAAATAACTTAGTGCATTCATTTTAAGTATTTATGTTATTTTAACGAGACATTTTATCGCAACTTTTGTTTCCCTTTTCTAAATATGACCATAGTATTTTCTTAAGTCTAGATAAATTGAAACAAGTTAAATATCCCATACCAAAGCTCTTTTCCACTAGCAGAAACAAAATCATCAAAGCTACAAGATTATTTCCCTAGTCCACCAGCAGCATCCTTACTCCACTGAGATGCTGCAGTATATATACAGTTGGCAATATACATCTCTACAGCTGACAGGCCTTCCTTTGCATACAGAAGAGATCAAGTCAGGCTAATAAGTAGAATCAGGGGCATGGTTCATCTTATCCAAAATAAATTTCCGTAAGTTGCTCAATTCTTATAAGCTCAAAAGTATCTTCCTTAATTAATACAAAAAAATGTACAAGGGTGACAAATTCTGCTGTAGAAATCTATATTGCAGACATCTACAGTTGAGTAAAATTACATCCACTCTTGATCTTAACTAATAATTCCCTTTGTCTTCCAGATATCTAAATTCTCTGGGACACAGACTTACTGTTGATCCACTACACCACTATCTAAAAATATTTTTTGAATTCAGTGTATATATTCAATGGCAGTAGTAATCACAAGATCTTCAGCTTTAACTCATACAAGTAAGTTATTAATATCTCTGAATTCACGTCTTAATTGGATATTGAAAAAAAAAAGAATCCGCAAGAAATAACCAATTTCATATCTGAGTTGAAGTTATAATCACAGCAGAAAACTGAATACAGGGTCAACCATGTTTTTAATAAACTTTTCACAGATAATTACAGTGTTGTACAAATTAAGAGGAGGCTTATAAGAAATGCAGAAGTAGCTACGGTGTCAATTATTGATCTACTCACATCAATCTAATATATACAACTTGTATCTGGTATGTCTAAAAGTATAATAATCATTTAGTCTCTCCAAACCAGTTTAAAATAAAACCTCGATGTAAAGTACAATCAGTTAAAGCACAAATCTACCAGATCACACCATTTTACTAATGGTTTGCTTCTTGGGCAGATCTGTCTGCAAGATTTACTCAATGCACTGTAAGCAGGAAAAATAACTGTCTTCCCAACTTGGTCCTTTTGCTAGTTTGAGTGGTACCAAGCTAAATAATGGGTTGGGGACCCCAAATATGTCATGTTTCAAATGATTAACAGCCTAGATGCAATGGAAATAACAGACAGACCTAATAAAACAAATCCCATGGCTTTAGAACACATTAAATGTACATACATTATGTGTTATCTACTGCAACTCCCATAAGGTGAGGCACAGTGCTAACTCTCTCTTGACAAGATGAATAAAAGCTAATGTAAAATCTTTTGATAAACTAGGCGTTAGTCCTAACACTGATAAATTATGTAACTACATAAATCACTGGCATGGCCCAGGCATGAGTGGTGGGGGAACTGGTGAATGCCCCAGTTCTGTTTGATCATGCCTCAGTAAAGAACAAATATAATAAGCCCTGCAGAAAATGACTCGGGGGTACTGGTGGGTGAAAAGTTGGACATGAGCTGGCAATGTGTGCTTGCTGGCCAAAAGGCCAACCGTATCCTGGGCTGTATCAAAAGAAGTATGGCCAGCTGGTCAAGGGAGGTGATTCTCCCCCTCTACTCTGCTATGCTGAGACCTTCCCTGGAGTATTGTGTCCAGCTCTGGAGCCCTCAGCACAGGAAAGACATGGATCTGTTGGAGTGGGTCCATAGGAGGACCACAAAATGATCAGAGGGATGGAACATCTCTCCTAGGAAGAAAGGCTGAGAGATTTGGAGTTGTTCAGCCTGGAGAAGAGAAGGCTCCAGGGAGACCTTGTAGCAGCCTTTCAGTACTTAAAGGGGGCTTCTAGGAAAGACAGGGCCAAACTTTTTAGCAGGCATTGTAGGAATAGGACAATGGGTAATGGTTTTAAACTAAACAAGGTTAGATTCAAACTACATATAAGGAATACATTTTTTACAATGAGGGTGGTGAAACACTGGAAGAGGTTGCCCAGAGAGGTGGTAAAAACCCCATCTCTGGAAACATTCAAGGTCAGGCTGGACAGGGCTCTGAGCAATATGATCTAGTTGAAGGTGTCCCTGCTTACTGCAGGGGGGTTGGACTAGATGACCTTTAAAGGCCTCTTCCAACCCAAACTATCTTATGATCATAAGCACAGCTTAATGGCAGCATCAGTGCAGCAGCCATTGATTTGTATTGATTTTATCCAACTCTGAAATCTGAAATAACATACATAGTATCAGAATCTTGGCTATTTATAGACCAATCAATTTTAACTTCCTGGTAACTTTTGCCAACTTAAAATATCCTTATACTCACGTGACAATCATGGAGCCACTTTAGCGACATATCCAAAGCTCAGTTAGATTAATTTATCTTGATAGATTTAGAATGGCTTTAGCATGGTTCAAACTAGCACCTATTTTCCAAAGCAGAGGCATCAATTTTACCAATGAGGCATTTGAAAAAGTTGTTACAGCTTCACTAATATTTTAAAAACCAAACAGATAGACTCTAATGCAGAGGTAAGTTTCCTAACTGGCTGAACAATTATCAGCTAGGAAAAAACTCATAGTTGTTTTTTTCAGTCTATGATTTTTTTTTTTCTCACTGCCAAGGACATTCCATGAGCAGGGAGCTCATTGCTTCTTTTTAAACAAGCAGATATTATAATTGCAGTTCACTCTGAAAAAGCCTTAGCTGAAATATAACTGGATATTAAGCTCACAGGTTTGTCATGGCCTATTTCCTTTAAATAGTTGCACTATTTTTGCTATTTGGAAGGCATGAGGAGTTAAGAATTCCTGTGTGTTTTGACACTGGAAGATTTTAAGGTGATAAACAGTACTAATGTTTCAGCTACTTACAGCTCAAGGATTTATCTCAGGGATGTTCTTAATCCTGATCTGTTTGTGCTAACAAGCCTTCAGTTACTGAACAAAGGATTGCACTCCTGATTCTTACATAGGGCTACAGCACACGTGCAATGCAGTACAGAGTAGGAGGTTTGAAGTGTGCACTAAATGGTCTATTGCAAACTGTATATTAAACTGTGATTTTGCTTAGGATCTTTTCTCTCTCTCTTTGGCTGCACCACCTCTAGCTACAGAAGTGAGTTCAAGTGGTTGGGTCTTGACAGACAATGAATTTCTGAAGAAGTTGTTGCCCTAGATCCACAATCTGTGACCCTCTGAGACGTGCATGGCATATCAGAGATCTAATGAGTTACTGATGAATTACAGCTTGAGATATTTTGAAAGCTGTGTGAAATTCCACAACAAGAGGTAAATGGAGCATGTGCAACTCGGGAGAAATTGCTGACTGACAGAAGGGGATGGTCTGCAACATTTAAACACTGAAATCTTAGAGAATCATAGCTTTAATCATCTCTCTTCTGTGCAAAATTGCAGATATTTTGGTCTTTCCTGAAGAGTCAAAATTCGAACTTAAAGTAATAGCAATGAGTATCCATATTTAAAAAAAAACTACAGAGCAAATCACATCGTATCTCCTATTAATTCCCATTATTACTTCACTAGAAGCTGGCATTGAACCAGTAGTTCAAGACAAGTTTCATATTGAGAAAAGAGTGAAAATTAAATCTGGGAGTATTTTTCCTATAATGGAGAACAGCAGCAGAGGCTTTCATCTTCCCCACAGTGTTTTCAATAGCAACAGTATTTAACAACTTACCAACAATTATCCCAGGTCTTCTATCCATTTCAACAATATGTGGATGCACACCTTTATATGCTGCATCACTCACAATTTGGGTGTTTTTCCGCACCCGCTCTGTTACAGGATCATCTACCACTGGGGTGAAGCCTCTGCCCTTTGTCTTCTCAAAATCTTCATGGTATTTTACCTAGGAAAACAAAAAGAATTACATTTTTCCTCAAGCTGGAATTGACAGCAAATAATTATTCTATGCAAGAATGCATACATGTCTGTTTTATGACACGCTTATATTCATTGGTTTTTGCACCATAGTAGAATTGTTACATATACGAGACAGGTTGGCTGGCTGTCTCTAAATGGATCTCCCTAACTTGATTTTCTGATATTTTATTATCATTTTTGCAGTTGTTTTCCAGTGCCACTGAATTAGGCATTAACTCAAGCAGCAAAGCATCATCTTAACAGTCACACAGAACAGAAAAAGCTGTCAGGAGGTCATCTGGGCCATTCCCTTCTTCTCTAAGATAGGATGGCTCTCTACTGATGTAGACAACTACATCTGTCAATAAAAAATGTTCCAACGGTAAATAGTCCTGAAGTATTTCCATTCACTGAGAATTTTGATATATGCACAGTTTTGTACAAAATGTACTTTTTTGCTCTTTTGTTTTATCATACGCCAATTGGCTTTAAACGTAGGTTTTTAGAAAGAATTAGGATGTTATATAATCAAGTGTTGGAACAAAACCAGTATTAGTAAGAGTTATAAAGTAGTACCCCTGATTATGCATATTTATTTTTTTAAACAGTCTTAATCATCAAGGAATTAAATTGACAAACACTCTCACACAAGCAAATGCACACGAAACAACTCATTCCAAGAACAAAAGTCACACAGAAACCAGGAACATGCACAGGCACAAGGTGAAGTGTGTCACCTAATCCAGTCAAACTGTATGATGCTCAAATGAAGTGTGTACTTTTTTAAAGAAAAAAAAAGAGCAGACATTTAACTGTTAGAAAACTGTTTATTAGTATTTTGAAAATGTTCATTACAGTCATATGCAGTTAGCAAACACTCCCTCAACAGGCATAAGAAGAAAATACTCCTTCCATACTTGAGCAGAGTTTCATTAGTTACCTATATTAATGGAAGGCAAAATCCAGTAGAAGTCGTGCCATTCCTTAGTATTCTCTAGTTAAAGGAAGAAAGTACCCTACCATTGAGATGTTGTTTTGTGTTTCTTTGACATGCCTTAGCTCAGGTGTGTCTAGAAGCACACTACGTCTACCCTTCATCTGCCTCTGATCACTGCTGTACTTCACCTGCAAAACAGCAACAACAGCACACGTTTTTGTTTACAGTAGAAAAGATGGTGAGAAACACACCATGCAATGGTATCCTTTCCAAATCACAACACCCAACGTTTTTCTTGTTTCTTTCTTTACACTCATCTTCTAATGACTTATTTCAGAGGGAGGATACAGATGAGCTAATATATTGGTAAGGCCAAAGGGCATGATTATTCTATTAATCACTTACTCAAAAAAATGGTATTTACCTGAAAGCTGAAACTCTTGACTGTTTAAATGGCATAAGTGAAATAATTCATTTATTAACTGAAAAATAAGATAAATAATAAGAAAACACCATTGTGATGTGGATATCTTTAAAACATGTTTGTACGGTTGATGATAAGCTACCTTCTTATTGTGCGGGCAGACCTAGATTCTGTCCTTAGTTTGTTTCCAGGTTGGGATTAGTGTGAGAACCACTGGGTCCCCAGGGAATTCAACTCTTAGAAGTAGATTAGTCTTGTGGCAACCTTCTTACTCCTGTTTGGTAGCTAGTCCTTGCTAGCAGCACAAAAGCAATATGTCTGGGACAAATCTGAATATGCTGTTTTCAAAGAGAACATTGGGCTCTGTGTTTGTGCATCAGTAAGTACAAAACCTCCTATGTCACATTTCTCCTAATTAGCTTCTTTTGTGGTATTTTATAGACTTGTAAAGATGCAAGGTTAATTATCTGTTAAAAAAAAAAAAAGGGCAAAACCCCCCCACACACACTCAAAATTCTAGAACAGTAAAAATATTTGGTCCTTGTTGTTGGTTATAGAATGAGTACTCTTATACTGAAGTTTCTTCTGGCTGGTTGAATTCTTCTACTAATGGACTCTTAGCTCCTGTATTGCATTGTATCCTGTATACTGAGTGTTAGTAAATATTTTAAATTTACCTATACATTCACACTCAAAGTATTACCTCTCAAATCAGTTGTGCAAATCTATTTCAACATGCATTTCTGATGAGAGAAAACAAGTATTGAAATTGTCTAACCCTCTTTAAAATTACATATTACCTAAGCACAACACACCTATGAAAATATGAGTCTTGATGTCTATGTTTCATAGGTAAGTTTGAAGTAATGTACAGAGAAACAGAAATATATGGTACTGCATATTCTTCAAATCCTTCTTAATTAAACAATAAGTTTTCTTAGCAAGTATATTCAGCTACATATGCTTTTGAATACAAGGCATTTTCTGGACAGAATAATTACAGCCAGCCTAGTTTGGTTTTCATCTGCTGCCCATTAACATAGAAAAGTATTTATCTCTGTAAATCTTGAGAAACAAAGTGAAGGAGTCACTAGGAAAAAAAAAAAAAAAAGCTTAATTTTCAGAAATAAAAAAAAAATATTTAAAGTCTAGAACTGCTGGGAAGTTTCCCTCTTATTTTTAACTATGCACCTGAAGACTAATTGACTTTGGTAAATATGTATGAGCATTTTAAGAATGTACTTAAGACATATGTAGTTACAAGGTCAGATTCTGTTCCTTTGTCCTTAGACAAATCCTCTGACAAATCCAACCTACTTTACTTTCCCTCTTACACTCAGTTCAGACTTCCTCCTTGCTTCTTATTAGAACTGTCTGCTGCTTTTTAGACCACTGTAATGGCGATTTAAAGGGGGGGGGGGGGAGGGGGGGGGGGGGGGGGGGGGGGAAGTAAGTACCATAAAAGTCAAGAAAATACAGTATTTTACTCTTTAGTAATAAGATCAGTTTTAGGATTCCTCAGCTCTACACAGGTGGCATGTTGCAGAGTAGAAGGATGACTATAAGCTTCCATGCTTTGAATCATAAAAAAAAAAAAAAAAAAAAAAAAAAAAAAAAGAAATTTGCACTAAATTTCCTTTGTTCTTTATTGCAATTTACTTCTGCAGTCTAGCAACTAAAATTTGGTAACAAGAGACAAAGATTCTTGAAAGAATGACTGACCTCTACTGACTCCCTCCTTGAAAAATACTAGTGTCAACACAACCATTTACCTTTTTTGCAAGAATAACCAGGCAAGTCTGAATATTTTTGTTGCCCGTAAGTGCAGTGCATGTATTCAAAGGAGAAAAAAAAAAAATCCATTCGGTAGATGATGCAGTTGGATTAATTTGACACATCAAATCTAAATGGAAAAGCGTATCCTTGTTATATTCCTTCAATGACTGAAAATCTAAATGACAAAAAGATTCTAACAACTTGCCGAGCTGATATTGTCTTGATTCTTCTTGACTCTCTCTATCTCAGGAGTGACACTCACAGCAGTAGCTTTGCCAGGCTGCTCTCTGTAGTGAACCTATTATATAACAGAATAAAATGGTACATACTGTTTCAGCTAAAGCAATATCACATTGTATTACATTAAAATGTATGATTTAAAAGGTCATCCAGGAAACAACTGAAAAGCTAAAATGCATTTGAAGTTTATTAAAGCTTATAAAACTTGATTTTTGAAGCATAACCTTGAATTTCTTCTGCATAGTCATCTTATTAATACATTTGTGTGGATATATACACACATGTACATCTTGACATTTACTATACTTGTCTTTGGCAGTATAGAGAAATAATTTATATTTGGAATGGGGTAAGCCACAAATAATGCAGTAAAGTCAAGCAGAGCAAATGAAAAAAACTGAATTTCAGCAATGCCCACAGTAAATGTCTATTTGTCCAGATACAGAGATTCCATAAGGATACCATCCATTTTCTAACTTTTATACTCTGTATATTCAAAGGTGATTACACAGAGGGAGTGCAATACATCAGACAAACTGCCAATTGAATCCAACTGCCTAAATTTCACCATGTGTTTATTTAAATGTACTGTAGGATCATCCCCTCTATTGCTTTTTAACAAAATACACTTGTAGCAATGATGCATTAACCAAATGTACACTCAAGGCAGGATCAGTATCTAAAGAGGATAAAGGATAGGATGTGGCATTGACAGACCAATCAGTCTAATGTTAACGCTGGCCCCAAATACTGGGAAGTCAGATATAGTACACATTTAGTAAATACTTAGAGATTCTTGCATGATTTATGAGAATCGATATTGTTTTATGTAAAATAAATGTTTCCATACAATCTTTTTTTTTAAAAAAATAAGCTCTTAGTTTTGTTTGATAAGAATAACTGTGCTGATACATAAGGCTCATAATTCTGCAGTGCACTGTGGAATTAACATATATATTGTTCAAACAATTGTTTTCCTACACAACCCAGTTTTGGTCCATCCGCATCAACATATTTCAATTGAAAAATTACCATCTTAAAAAAATTATGGTAACCTATGGAATGGATTAAACCTGCGAACTGACATTTGTAAAGATAAAATGATTATTCAAGACTTAAGGTTTCTAGAAATGTCTGAAGTTAAAGAATCTGTGCAAAGCTATTCCAGTGACCTGAAAGAGAATTTAATCTTTCCAAGGAAATCCACACAACAAAAAAATTGGTGAAAAGTAAACAATGATGTGAGTAAAACAACTACACAGACTGGCTCAAATCACTCGAGAAAACAGGTTTGATTTAACAGCCTGTATTTTAGGAGAGCTAGGTATATCAACATAAATCCAGGAATAAATAGCATACACTTAACTTAGAGGGACAGTATTCTTGAACTTTGTAACTCTAAATTAATTTGGGGAACGTGGCAGAAAACATCCCATGAAATATGGCTGCTGACAGCAGTTCCCAGTGAGGAGAATGGCTCCTCTCTCAAAGATGCATTAACACAGTACAACTTCAGCAATGCAGAAAGGCAGGAGCATGCTTCAAAAGCCCTTACCTTCTTACTTATACTCCTGCAAACAGTATGACCTTCTAATGGTTATGTCAGCCATTAAATACTAAACTTTGACAGAAAGATTACTGAGGAATCAGAAGCTGCCAAGTAAGAGAGCTGGAGCTTGAGTACAACTGTAGTCAATTTTTTTACAAAGTGAAAAAGTAAAAAAAAAAAAAAGCTGGAAAAGGATATTCTGTTAAAAAATAATTCATTCAAGATTTCCAGTAAATATCCAAGACAGAAACATTTCAAAACATTGCAGCCATTTTTTCAATTGAATAGGTGATGTTTCACATGCCATTTCCCAAACCAAGCAATGGCTTTCCACAATTGCTTCCTAAAAGAGAGTGTTCAAGTAACTGCATTACTGGGCCAGCATCTAACTAGAGAAAAGTCACAGCTTCTACAGGCAGAACCTGGTACTCATCCTCTGCACCCAAAAATTATACAAAAGATTAAACTAGAGCAACTTCCCATGCTGACATTCTCTTGATTCCTCTTGACTCTTTCAATCTCAGGGGTAACACTCACAGGCGTAGCTTTGCAGAGCTGTTCTTTGTACTGAACCTAGCAAACATGGCAGAAGATATTACACAGAGACTTTTGAGTAACAGAAATATAACAATTTGTTAGACATCATTAAAGTGCACACTGCATTTGGATGGAAAATACCATTCCTCATTAAACACATCTTTCCTCATGATACTTAGTACTCACCCTCTTGCAGTTCTTCTATTTTAGACACAAACAATTGGTACAGTTCAACAGGAATATTTCACTCTTATTTATGTTAATCAAAGTGCAAGGCTAAGGAGTTATCATTTTACCATTACTTGATTACATTAGTCTTCGTGGACAAACAGGAACTAGCAGAAACACCACAGACATTGACTGAGACACAAACACATTTAATACAGCAGAGAGAAGTATGCAAGCAATGAAAATGGGGCGCACATTGCTAATATTCTTCTGGTTTTCCTTAACTCTCCTTAGTTCTGGTGGATCAGAAATAGTTGTTGCATGTTGAATTTCTTCCTTGTATTTAATCTGCACAATAAATATTACAAAATATTAGCAATTTAAAGAAGATACAGACAAGCACTAACACACAACATTTTGTAATCTCTCCCTTACACATACTTCATAGCTATACCACACCTATCAACACTATTGACCTGAAAACAAACAGTTAATATTTCATTTCTGAAACAGGCTGTTAGGGTCTCCAATGGCATCTTGTTTGATACGATGCAGCAGAGAGTGCATATAGCAAGTCTAGTATACTGAAACTCTTACAGTGGGCATATATATCACATGGGATTGTGGCTATACAGATGGACTCGATGATCTTAAAAGGTTTTTTCCAACCTGAATGATTCTATGACAATTGGAATGCTGCATATACTACTTGGAGATTTGCATCACTCTGACAATACTTTGTCTTGCTATTATATTGCTACGGAGTCTACCAGTCCATTCAGAAACCAAGTATTTCACAGATGTGTTCTTAAAAGGGTAGATGACTTCAAAGTCTCATTCAAGTTCTCTAAAAACACAGGCAGACACATCAGGGAGAATACAGACATTTGGATGGATAATGTCTTTGAAGATGCTGGCAGATATTTACTGCTGGTTTTGCCACATTTAATCTCTTCTAAACAGCAGTATGTTTGGATATGGTAGGCTCCATAATTTGAAGGATGCGAAGAATAGAATTTCTTCAGTTATTCACCATATGTACCAAAACTGGAATTCAACTTAATGAGAAAGAATTGTAAGGTTAAGGGGATGTGGCACTAAAAAGAAAAGCATCATATTTTCTGGTTTTCCATATGCTATCCAAAAGGGTCATCTTGAACAAATCTGTGCACTGTCTTTTTCTTACTGTCTGTTACTAAATACCTGTCCAGTATTCAGCACATTCAGCTTCAAATCTCTTATGTCACTGTAAAATAAACAATACTTGTAAACCATGCCATCCTTTACAGTGACATGGCATGCTTTCTTTTTCTTTACAATGGTAATAAAACAGCAAAATTCACAAAAATATTCAAAATTGTGTGTGCAGTGGTACATAATAGTTGGAAACATTTTTCATCAGCAAGACTCAAGGAAGTAAAAGTACTTTAAGAACAAGGGAACAGCATAATGAATCAATTTGCACAGTTTTATATTAATGTGGCATACAAAACTTCTGTTAGATACATTTTAAAGCTGCAAAATCGAGGACTCAAAAATCAGAAAATGATGCCATTAACTTGAATATAACCCTGGTTCTGCCCCTTGTACAAATATGCTCCACGTACAGCTTTTAATATATTTTATACTACTTCATTCTTTTCCTCTTTAAGTGCATTATAATCTTATTTATTAACAAAAGCTGTTTTTCTCAAGAGAATCTGCCTCATTCATCACACATAATCAATGACCCTTACTTAGTGAGTAGTTTGCATGCGGACCATGACTGACCATTTTTTTTTTTCTTTAACTAGTCTGAGGTCCTGCTTCAATGACAGAATTAGTGATTTCTTCAGGAAATTTTCTATGTTGCTCCTTACTAAAGCATCTGAGTTTTTCACACACAATAATTCACTAATTTTGCTGTGAAAGGAGGAAAAGGGAATTGTGACACGGAAAAGTATTATTTTTACTAGAGAGCATAGACAAGTAACAGCTAATCTGGCTACATAATTTTAAAAAACATAGGATTATACAGAACCAGCATTCAAATAAGAATTCCCGTTGAACTGCACTTTGCAAAAGGGAAAACCAGAGCAGGTTTGCCTCCATGGCAAAGTATAAAAGCGTATACCTTGGCACTGGATCACCAGGTCTATACACAGGGACTTGAATTCAGGTTCTTGTTTTTGCATATTGACTTAGTGACCTTAGCAATATTCCCTAAAGGTACCTCTCAGGGAGGCAATTTGTCATGATGTGAAAAACTATAAATGTACATTACTTCATGCACCTTCATCTTAAGCCCCTTGTGGTTTGTTTAGACTGACTGCACAAACCCATGAGAACAATCGTAGTTTGTTACCTCCATGGACACCATCATTAAAGAAAGGGAAAATATTTGACCAAGGGTACCTCAGACACATGCTGTCAGCAAGCGAGTGATGAGTCTAAACAACCTTGGGTTCTGTTTCAGCTCTTGTGGAAGGAAGCACCCACGCACAGGAGCATGTCACTCTGCCTGTCTTTCCCCACATTTACCCCTCCACTCTGTCCACGACCAAGCCCTTTTACACTTTCAGATCCTCATCCCTGTTCTCTTTTTTCCCAAATCCACTGTACCATATGTCACTTAGCAGATAATTTTTAACTCTCTTCTCCAGGACATGGTACTTCTGGAGAATGGCAAATTTCTTAACACTGACAAAACAACTTGTTTTTCTCTAAGCTCACACTTGGAAGCTGCTTTGGCTGAGATCTATAAATAAATAAATAAATAGAACCAAACCAGCTCAAAGAATGGAAAATTTCAGTCCCGACAGTTTGGGACTGGCAGAAGTAGTAAACTACTGGAAAACATGTCTTTTAAAAGAGACTATTAGGTAAGCTTAAGAATTGGCAGTGCTACTAGTCCTTAAAATGCTTCAAAATGTTTGTTGCTTGAGTTTTAATCAGGCCCCAGCTTTGTGGTGTTGACTGACATATCACAGGGGTTTCCTCATGGATTTCACACAAACAAAAACACAATTACAATCTTCTCCCAAAAACCTTCTTCCCAGTTCTGTGTCCAGCTCTGTCTGTCCCTCAGTATGAACAAGTTTTTTAAAAATCCTTAGTTATTTATAGCTTCTCAGTTCAGATTCAGTTACAGTCCATAGGTCTGATGTTTGCTCTGAAAGTTCTGTGAGATCTTCACTCCAACTATTTAGTAGGCTGCTTCTTCCAAACTAATCATCACAACAGGTAAGATGAGCTCAACCACCTTGGCTGTCACCACCTTGTGTTTTAGGATTTGAAAACAGACTGTTCCAAGCTTTCTCTCCAATATACATCATCTGGAAGAATTTGATCACCTTCAGAACATGACGCAATTGACATTTTTGCATGGTTTGGTTGTACACTGAGTGTTATTTTGGTGTGGTGTTCTGGGTGGTTTTGCATTGCAGATGTGCTTCACATTCCATAGTTTCATTTAGCACAGCAAATAGTTTTAAAGCTGTCCTAAGTCCTTCTAGTTAAATTCAAAGACATGCATAAAATCTTTAAATCTAATGGAATCAAAATTGGTGTAATTTACTCTGCCTTTGGGACTCCTGTAAATTACACAATATAATTTCCCTCTTACTGACATATAATTTAAAACTTCCTTGCACATTGCCTTTAAATTTGGCATTCTACATTTTTAATAAATATTATACAAGACCTAAGTAATCTCCAGTACGCTACATGTAATAAAATACCTTTTGTAAAATATTAACTGTACACATAGACTAGCAAGGTAATGGCCATGCTACTTACATCATACCACTAAACCACTAATGCTTTTTGTGTTTCTCTTTATATACTTTTGTTCAAATGTATTTACTAGCATTTCCCCCTCTTCACCACTGTTTAGGATTTCTAAAACAGCAAGAGCACTGCACAGTATTTTTCCATTTCACTTTCAAAGGTTTTGAGAAAAAGCATTAGAGTAAGACTACTCCTAATAAGCCTCTGTGTGTGTGTGTGTGTGTGTGAGTGTGTGACTACTCTCAAAGTTAATGTCTGTGGTAACTGGAAATCAAATAGGTAACAGGAGATTAGGGTTTTGTTTCTAGAACACCAGTACAAATCTGGCTAAAAAAAATCATAAAAGCATAATTGCACAGGGTGGGGAGAAAAAACAACAAAAAACCCAAATAACAACAACAACAAAAAACCCACCCTCAAATCAAGAAAACCTACAGCTTCCCAACCAGAAATACTATTTCAGGACTTAGGACACATGATAGCTTGCACTGAATCTTCAAATTGCACTGTGACTCAAAATGACAAGATAAAACATGATGGATGGAGCAGAGAAAAATTCCAAGGAAAGTATGAGTTTTTCAAAATTTTATGGAAATTCCCTACCCAACCTTACTTTGGTGGGAAATGCAGTATTTAACACTACTTGGTAAACAAGGAAATTCTAGCAGAATAAGTGTCCAGAGTCCCTAATTTGGATTTCAGCTAATATTTAAACACAATCTAGTTTCATGTCTCTGTGTTATTTTCAAACTTTATTTTTAAAAAAGCAGCTAATCATCAGAAAAGTAATGTCACTAACATAAAAATGGCCACGGAGGACTCCACACCAAAAATTCTTAACAAGTGACCAATTCAGCTACAAATGTTTTCTTGCTTGGCAGTAATTTTCCCACTTTTTTCCAAGTTTTGTCACATATTTATCAGAAGAGCATGTTTTACTTGTAGGAAACTCTCATCTCATTTTGATATTTTATTTTTAGTTGCCCATTAAGTGCCAAAGCCATTAGGCATCCATAGATAAACAACATCAATTCAGAAACAGACTCATGAGATCCACAGGTCAGTTTATCAGCATATAAAGAGGCACAAACCCTCCACCTTTTCACACAGCTGGAGTCTGGACATCCATTTTCCTCTTCTTAAAGCATAAACTGTACCAACCCCTAGGTAATAAATGCAGACTCTACAGGAACTTTAGAGATTTTCTTTTTTGTGATACAATATTTTTCTAAATTGCAAATTACAACTGCTGTTCAGTGTGTCATATCAGGAAATACATTTCATGTTTCTCACTCTCGAAAGACAAAACTCTTTCCTTGAATATTTAGTTCAAAGTTTTTCCTATTTTTCATAATGCTTCAGTTTGAAACTCTACCTCTGGACACAGAAGAACAATACTACAGTAGAACTCTAACTCTACTAGAAAGGACCTCTATATCCAAAATCCAGTGTAGTAGTATTTGAATGAGATGTGTGATATGAAAATGTAGAATTTTTAGTAAACAAGATGGAAAAAAAGTTCGACCACCATTTACTCACATAAGAATAATTAATGATGATAACACTTACCGAACTAATATTCTGTTGATTTTTCTTTACTCTTTCAATCTCTGGAGTCTCTTTTACAGCTGTGCCAGCTCCTACTTCCTTCTTATAAAACACCTTCATTTCCCCAAAAGAAAAAGTAATTACGAGACTGTTAGCAATGCAAGTACAATTTCTCATAAAAGGGTTGGGCAATTTTCCAAAATCCAAATTGGTCTGACTATAAATCTTGCTAAGAAAGCAAATACTTCAATTTTTCAGAAATCAGACCAATTATCAATAACTATAATAACATTCTGTTTGTTTTCAACTGTAACCCAGATAATCTATTATCATCCTTTAGACTGACCTCAAACATCTGTAAGTATTTGCAATGATAGCTTTAATTTAGAAATAATATTAAAATTTAGATCATAATCTATAAACATCTACAAATACAACTTCATGCTTGAGTAATCTCACTCATTTCAAGGTAATTGAACGTGCGTGTACATGTAAGATTTGAATTTTTTTTTAATCTTCAGATCTTAATATACTCTGAGAAATGAGCAGATATTATTAATTCTAATTTAACAAACTAGAAAATCGACATATTCATGACAAAATAACCAGAACAGCCAGACCTACAGTCCAAGTCACGCAATTTTTTGATTTCTGATTTCAAGCCAGAAAGCTGACTGCATCTAAAAATAAAGCTCGCTTCTGAAAAGATGCACATGCTGTTTATTTAATTCTCCTCTCTATTTCAACTCTTTCAGTAAAGGATAAAACGTAAAGCACATCAGTAGAATCAATCATTCAAAGTTACTGAGAGACACAGTAAATAACTGCTCCACAAATTCCAAATGTGGCTATAATTTACCTAACCATGGAGCACCAGTTCACGCTGCAAAACTCCTAAAGAAGTTTTGAATTTCAGTATTTGGTGTCACAGCTGTTGCCATTCTAGTAAGTATTTCCAGGCTGGTATTGTAAAAACAAGTCCCATCCCAGAGTTCATAAAATAAATCTTTACCATTTCGTATTTCTGCCTTTCTTGAAACCAAGATTTATTTAACTTTTTTTTTTCCTATCAATTAATCTTTTCTTGATGCATGTCTCCTAATTCCTTGAAGTCCTCTCTAACCCAGGATGACCAGTACCACCAAATATTCTAGAGGAGAGTGAATTATTTATGTCCACAACTCATTATTTTTAATATTCAGAAAACTTTAACAATTTAGAATTTTGTTTTACCATGTGAGAACAGAGACAGTTTATGAGTAAAAACTTGAAAATCCTTCTGCACCAACATATCAGTACAAGGTAGAAAGATTTACACAGTGGACTGAACTAAAATATACTTTTCTTCTCTACCAAGGAGGTCAAAAATGTTGGATCTGGAAATTTTTCTATGAAAGAGATGACTGTGCAGTAAATATCCTATTGTAACTCATCTGGCAAATGAGCTAGTGAGCTAAAAGCAGCACTGATCTTATCTGCAGAGCTAGTCACTATTTTTGTACTTTAAGGCAGGAAAATACTTGAGATGAAATTAAAAAATCAGAAGCTGATTATGGGTCATTAGTTTTTTTATATTGAGTCTGTTCCCATCTATATCTTAACTTAATAAAAAGTAACTTACCTTTATAATCTAAATTGTACAGATTGCTGAAAGATTATAACGTGGAGAAAGAAAAAATATGATAATTCAATCACAGCTCTAAACTACTTTCCTACATTTGGAGGATCCAGTTCAGAAACAGAAAAAGGATGATCACAAAATAAACCAAATTACCTCACAGACAAAATATTTGTATTTCATATTATCTAGTACCCTAACAAAGAGGATAACTGTCAGCCTTGGCACTGAAAGCTCAGACTGGCCTACAGGGCTGCAAGGGTTTCAGATGTGTCAAAGGCTTGTCAAGGCTTAATTAAGCAGTGTAAGGTTATTATGTGCCTGGTATCTAACTGTTAGAGAGTCTGCACTGCCAGACCTGCTGACCTATTTAAGGACTTCATCAAAAGCTGTCAAAGACAGGACCAGGGAGTGAAGCAGATCAGTAGAGGATAGCTTGGATCCCCTCTGTTACACAGAGTTTCGGTGTAGCATGTTAGGATGCCAGTGACATGAGAGATGGTGCTAACCACTGTCACACCAAGCGGCAGAGCACCATACAAAACCAAAAGATTACAAGAAACAAAATTGGGGCCAGCAGGCATGTCAACAGCTCTTAGAGCAATGTAGATGCTCTCATCTAAAGGGAGAAAAAAGGAGGAGGAAATGGCTGGAAGACGTTACAGGAGAAACCACCCCCTAGAGCAGCTTCAAAGATTTTTCTTTTCCTCTCCCTGCAGGCTCTTTCTTCCCTAATGAAGCCCCAGTGATATGGGACAGCTGCAGGTAAACACCTCTGAGGAAAACTAATTGACCTTTTACTCATGTGGAGTTGGAGAAGCTGAGAATATCTCTAAGCAAAAGAACCACATCTGTGTCAGACAATATTAAAATATTTAAGTAACTTATATTCCTTTCTCTCAAATAATTGGCTTTATTAGTATTACTTAGTCCGCCATAAAAAAGACACTAAGTAGATAGGCTTTGGTTCCAGAGGCTACATTTACTTCTCCTCTTCTCTATTATATTACATGCAAAGCTACAATTACAAATGGCAGAATTAATGGGCCCAAAAAGGACAGTACAAACTGGGCACATGTAGAAATCTAAGCTCATAATTTATATCTAGGGACAAACTGAAATTTAAATCTAGCATAAAATTTAAAAATATATCCAGTATAACATCAAATAATTAGAGATAGATATTTATGAAACCTGATCTGTTCTAATTTTATACCCAAACCTTGATGTTCTGTACATATGATAGGAAACAGATGAAAAATCTTATATGCACAGTAACAAGCCCTAGATTTTTTTTTGTACTTTTAAATAAAGTACTTCCTGGAGCTTGATGGAAACATAAAAAAAAAAATCTTCATTTAAAAATAACTGTGGCTTGGCAAGGTGGTACAAATGGTTTAGCAATTCAAAATAACAGTGTCACACCTAGAAACACTGGCTATTTTTTACTGAAAGAAATGAATGATACAGGTTTTGCCAGGAAAATTATGCAAATGGTTCAAAGGACATTTAATCATAAGTTCCCTACTTCATGCTGCAGCAAAAGAGCCTATTTAAACTGAAAAATATCTGAAAAGTTGCAAGCGAAAAGAGAAGCACTATTACTCACTGAACTGATGTTTTTCTGAGTATTTTTTATCCTCTCCATCTCTGGAGTGTCTGGGACAGCAGAATAGTTACAGAGCATCTTCTCTGCTTCATCTTTGTACATCTTCTGAAAAACAATTTTTAAATGTCTATTTCCTGCTTTCTTGGGCTCAGAATATCCAAACTGCAACAAAAGTTGCTTATTGCTGATAAGCATCAATGTCCTTGTACAGTATTTATTTCAAACTCTCTCCTCCATGATACCTTTATCATTCTCTATATGGGATACCTTACACTGTGCTCCACACTGAAAATATGTAATATATATATATATAAAATATTTTTTCATATGCATTATGTTTTCCCTTCACTGTCAGGATATATATAGCCTTCTCATTAGGTAATGTAAAAAAAAAAAAAAAGACCTGCAAGTAGATGTAAACAATTAAAATAAATTTACATGGCATGACAAGCCTAATTACAAATAAGAATCAGGCAGCAAGATTTTTTACTACATGTAAATTAATTTAATATGGGTGTGAAAGCCTCTACAGAGCTAGAGAAGTATTTTGAGCTATGTATGTCAAACACTCATTGTCACATAGAACTAAAACTTTGACAATAGTGTTTGAACTATGCCTACCTGGCTTGCTATTTCAGAAGCCCTTTTGACACGTTGTATTTCAGGAGTATATGGGCCAACTTGCATCCCTTTTCCTATAATTTCAGTCTCCAGATCCTTTTTATATTCTTTCTGAAGAAAAAAGAAGAAAAAAGAAAAAAAAAACATAACTAATTCTACATATATGCTATCTTCAAAGTTATTCTGATAGCACTGGTCAGGCTTTGAAATAAATTCTTCAGTTTCTTTAATTTAATTTTTTTATTGTTCACTGACTATTCCTTCTAGCCAAAGTATGTTCGAGAAGATTTTATATTTTTAATATCTCATTGTGTTTTGTGATTCTGTGATTCTGTGTTTTACTTCCAAAGTAATCTTAAGAGATTCATTCTGTACTCACCTGGCTTACAATTTCAGAAGCTTTTTTGGCTCGTTGTATATCAGGGGTATCCATGCCCACTCCCATTCCCTTTCCTTTAATTTCATTCTCCAAGTCTTTTTTGTATTCTTTCTGAAAAGAATATCATTGGAAATACTCACATGTTTGATAGCCAAATTCTTAAATTGTTCCTACTTTAATCTGCGATTCCACTGAACAGCATTCTTAAAACACCAAATAACTTTTGATTCAACAGCATTAGCTTTGTAGGATCTGTCTATGAGACAACTATGCTGTAGCTGTTGACCAGTTACAAAATTATTCTAACAAACTGCTTACTTCAAATCTGATGTAGCCTACCTGTCTTTGCAGCTTTGGCAGCCACAATCACAGACACGTGTAGATGAGACTTGATCCCTCAGCTGTGCTTTGCAAGACTTGGGTCATAAGGCTTTAACATCCCTCTAACTCTGCATTTGCCTCTAACTAAATAAGCAGCTATTTAGACCTAAAACCAGCAGAGCCCACATCTACTGAACAAAGCCTAGTTCAGGAGTGGTTCACGAGGAACAAGTGCCACCTCCAAAAGATGATGGAAATGTCAAAATTCTGGGAAGTCTTAACTTTCCCTTACACACTGATCATGCAACTTTTAGACTCTATGCAGCTCAACAGATTAGGTATTTGGTGAAATTTGTGGTATTGCTACTGCCTAGGTTGGTCACCATCTGGTATTCTCAATGACAGTAGCTTGTCACATTCTGTCAAATGGAAAGCTTGCACCAGGTATAGTACTGACCATGCTTGCAATTTCAGAAGCTTTCTTGGCTCGTCTGATCTCAGGAGTATCTGGACCAACTTCCATGCCCTTCCCTTTAATTTCAGTTTCCAGGTCTTTCTTGTATTGCTTCTGTGAAGATAAAACTTCCTACATTATATTCACAATAGCCAGAGAGTTACAGAGAGATTTTTGTACAAGAGATCCAATTTAAGATTTAGAGTTAATCAAAAATCTCAAGAGTTACATGTCTCAAGAGTCTTGGCAAGTTTTGTCAGGAAAACACATAATGAATTACAGGAGGAAAACTTGATGAGATATTCACTGAACGTACAAAACTCTATCACTGAATTTTTAATTTGGCAGAGGGTGGGGGGAAATCAGTCCATACAGCTTGCTACAATTATCCTTGAAAGTAAAGGGGAAGTTTGGCTCTGCAGAATATAGTGTAATAAGCTGGTACTTGGTGCCAGCCTAATTGAAACACATTTTACTTTTAAGAAAATATTTTATTTATGAAAAGACTACATGTTAGAAATTTCATACCATACAGAATTGTTTCCAGTGAACTTTCAGAGCAGGAAGTTGTAATTTATTCATTTAATAGGTCTTTCCTGAACCACAGCTATTAGGCAAGCGGCAGTACTCATCTATGATTGCTGCTTTTTCCTCACAACATGAATTATAAATAATCAATAACCAGGAAACAAAATGAATATTTCATCTTCAGCTTATCTATGCAAGGATATATTTCTTGTTCATCAGCAAATGATATTAAAATGTAATACTGAAATACTGTATACAATAGTTGTACTTTTTATTCTTAATAAAAAAAAATAAAAGATTCCCAGGCAGTGTTATTTCTGCTGCTATAATAGTAATCACTCTTTTTCTATTCTAGTTTATCTCTGCCTGTGGAAAACAGGTTTGAGGGTTTTTTTCAGAATAAACACATACAATTAAAAAATTTCTTCTTCCTTTTCTTGTTTGTTAATTATTTTTAGGTTGTACATTTGTTAGAAAAAAGACAGAAAATATCCTTCTACCCAATGCAATGGTCTGATCACTTACAAGAATAAGAGCAAAAAGACTTTAAGTCTTCCATCTCTGTCTCACTCTGATGTGGAAATAAATGTGATAAAGCAACTCTCTACTTCACAAACCACAGTTTTTTGCAGAAAGAAAACATCCCTCACTTCCTCTCTGCTAAAGCTGGAATGGCAGATGTTTCCTCCCAGCTTTGTGCTGTGTAAAACACCAAGGAAAAGATAATCCAGGGAGTTATAGCTATATATTCCTGCACTTCTTTACAGTGGTCAGATTGGCCCTATGCACGGCATTCCCTCTTGTTCATATGGCTAGGTATGTATATGTATGCAAATAAACAGATACATATACACACACACACATACATATTAAATGAATATAAAATATATAAATATATAAAATAAATACATATAATACTCTGAAAGAATGATTCCCCGAAGGCATGAAGCACAGTACGAGCTTTGCTTTCCTTCTTCCCTTCCCACACCCTCCAGCCCCACCGCTGCTTCCCAGGCAGCCTGTGCAAGCTCATCCATAGGAGCTGCAGCCGTGCCAGCTTTGGAGCTTGCAGCTCTGCTGAGCACCCAGGTTTGCCAAGTACATGAGTTCCTCAGGGTGGTCTTCAAGAGAGAGTACACAGATCAAGGAATCTTTCACTTCCATTCCCAGCCCTTGACAAGGAGTAGATAGCACACACATGCTTCCACAGTTCCTCCAGAGCAACTTAGACCAATAAAGTTAATACCAAAGTTCAGTTCTAAAAATATACTCTGGAAGGAGCCTCCACCTGTCTATTTGCATTGGATGAATGACAAGCCTAAGAAAATCCATTTCCTCAGGAGCAACTCTACTTCTGCAAAAAAAGTTTTCACAAGTAGAATAGTTTGAATAAAAGACCTTCCCAAGATGCCTGGCAGTCACGACCAATATTTATTTTCAGATAGCAGGTATATGATTCCAAAAAGCTCAAAATTATTTCATTGACTTTTCCTTACAAGTCCATTAACAGTCAACTCTTTTTCCATTACAGTATTATACTAGCTGAGCAAATAAAGAGATGGAAAAATGAACCCAGTTTTAAATGCTGTATCTACTGGTACTACTAACAATTTCCATTGACCTTTTAATTGCCTGAAAATCTGAAATATTTGTCATAAATTGTTTTGGGTTTTTTTCACAGAGCTTTTCTATGTTCTTTAAGCAAAACAGAAATAGCCTTAGTTTCAATATTTACGTATTTTATTGTAGATTATGTAAAAAAAATTGGAATATTTTCAGTCGAGTATAACATAGTGAACTTTCTGTAACATGAGTAACCTTCACTTGCATAACATACCTCATTTAGTATCTGAGCTGCGTTTTTCACTCTAATCAAATCCGGTGTATCTTCAAACACTGTCATTCCTTTACCTTTCATGCCTTCTTCCAAATCTTTTCTATATTCTTTCTAAGGATTAAAAAAAAGAGAGATTTCTCCACTTAATTTTGTGCACAAGATCTTGAAAAGAAATGCCACTTATTAAATGTCTGAAGTGTCTCTTTGAAATTTCTATGAAATATGAATGTATGAAGTACAGGTTTCAGAGTTAAAATAGAATTGGAAATTACGAATTCAAAAGGTACAATGTTGAAAACGTGAAATGGTTTTAATGTAGTCATGTATTTTCCTGTTGTGCTCTTGAAAAATAGTCCTCTCCTGTACACTGCTAGCACATTGTTTAGGGGCCTCAGCTGCTTCTCTACAGACACTTTAATTGCAGTAGCATTTGCTTTTACAGACCAGTATTTGCTGTGCTGCAGTTTTTATCCCTGTTCCACTAATGGCATCACAGTCAGGATGAATGCCCTGAACACTATACTAGGACCTGTTAAAATGACTACTTGATAGATTACAATGTAGAAGCAATATTCTTTCTTCTGAATCCCTCAGACACTGCATGGATATGATCTATCAACATTTAGCAACTTTAGCCTACAGAGTAATCAAATGTTCAGTATAAAATTAAAAACACACTAGAACCTACCCATGGACATTTGGTTCTTTTTCCTTTTCCCAATTCCTAGAGAGACAATGTAAGCCTACTGAAGTTCAAGATCTTTAAGTTTTGTAAGGATTTTTAATTGCTCTGCCCATCTCTAGGTTTGGGTTAGGCTTTTTAAGGCAAAGAAACTAGAAAAAAATTGAAGAAATTATTTTTCAGAAGGATTTATATAGACATGAATTAATACTCCTAAACACATATTAAATTTCATAAGCAGCAGTGAGCATCTTTGTCTCTGTATAAGCTCTTTATTTAAACAAAAGAAAACCAGATATTTTTAAAGAAGCGTCTCTTTATCATCAGAAGCATGTCCCACAAAAAGCAGGAAACAACTTCTATTAATTTAGAATTATTAAATTCAGCTATTTCTTCTGATGGAGTTGTGAATGTGGTTCCAGAGAATAAAGTTCTTATTGTTACAAAGTGTGAAATATTTGCAGAATTTTCTACACTGGGAAGGCAACAGAATAAGCTGGAACACAGCTGACATGTAAAAAAAAAAAAAAAAAAAAAAAGTAATTGAAAAAATAATTCATTTTTTAATAACACCAGGTTCTCCTTGTTTCACGCAGTATTTTTCTAAAGTTTATTATGAACCTTCATGTAAAAATACTAAGCTACATCCTTGACTATGAAGAAATATATAATTTGCTGAATCTTGAAAGATAATAATTAATTTGACCTACATAATCTTTGGGTTTGGAAGCTGTTCATTGAATGTGGATACAAAATATTATGAAATTCATGCATTTTCTCATATTCTTCCCTTCTGGTTTACAAGCCTGGTTTACTCTCCAAGTAATGAGTCATAAAACTTGAGGAGGTAAGAATTAGGGAGCATCTTAATTCATGTAGCACTATAGAGAGAAGTTATATCAAAATTTTCAAAGATTAACACTTACAGCACATCTGTAACTATGCATACACTAACAGCTTCTGTGGAAATTCAGTATGCAGCAAGATTAACTCAATGAAATGCAAATATTTGCATTTTTTCCCAAGTCAGTAGGCATACATGACACGTACGCACAGAATGATACTGCACAAACTAGACCTAGCTTGAGACTTGTCTACCTGACACTCAAGCTTATCAGAATAAATTATTTATTAGAGGATGAATAATAAAGAAATATCTGAAAAGAAAATATTTTCTTTACCCATATAAAATCTAGCATAGACTGGGATAAATTGTTTAAAAAACAAGGAAAGGTACAGGGTTCAAGGGTTTTTAATTCTTCCTCAATTTGTTCATCTGGGCCACAGCAAAAAAATCAATTCTTAATACAATAAATGTAAACAAGGTATTGTTGGCTCCCAAATTCAAACTGATATCTAGAAGCTCTGATATTTATAGCTATGAATTTTGCTGATATCTTTACTTATAAATTTGGTCAAATAGTAAGCCTAATCTATAGAACCAACCTATACTCAAAACCTAATATGAAAACAGTTTTGAATAACAATACAAAAAGACTCAAAATAGAAGGATTCTCAGTTATGGGAAAAAAAACCCTGTTTAATTTATAATGATACATATAGCTGAAGAAAACTAGACGAATCTTAAAGAAACAGTAGGCATACAGAAAACCTGCACCTTCTAACAAAATTTGCTTAAAGCAGATTATGTAGTATCACAGCTATATTCACCCATTATATGTATGATAGATAATTATTTCAATTAAATTAATTTAAAGTGACTACACACAGCTCAAGGCTTCCATATAACCACAACAGACTATCATACACCTGAAATAATTACTCAAAAGGAAACACTGCCATCTGGCAGAAATCCTCCTTTCCACCCCTTCATCTATCTGGAAAGAAAACTCCAGGCCCTCTCCAAAACCCTAACAGATGTTTTTTGCAGCATGCCTGGAAGGAAGGTCACCAAATCTGGGATACTGGAGCCCAGGGGAGGAACAAATTCCAAAATTGAGGCCCTCAGAAGGAATGTGCTGCCAATGATCCATTTTCTACGGAGTCATCTGATTTGTTCATTTAACTCTGTTTTTATGGTTCAGGTGTGCTGAGCTTTATCATTTCCTTATGTTCATAAAGAAACCTCAAAAAGTATCAATTCTTACTACAGGACTATTCAGAATATAAAATGACACATTGCAATTTTTATTCATGAAGTCACTTTTGTATTTAGCTACAAAGTTAACTGTAAATCGTTCATCACCGAGTAGAATATAGTGATGCTGCTTATTGCTCATTTACAACTTAACAATTAAAAAAAGAAATAAAAATCCTCTACCTCTTTCAGAAGGTTAGTGACTTGTTTTATATGCAAGAACTCTGGGGTCTTGTCTAAATCCATTGAGGGTCTTCCCTTGATCCCTTCTTCAAAATCTTTACGGTATATTTTCTATTAAAGCAAAAACAACAATTAGGGGTACATGCGTGTGCATTTCCAAGCATATTTCAGAAAGAACACAGTAAACACAGCCTAAAATGAGCTATGCTATAAATCAGTTACCACATTAATAAGCAACTTTACGACTCATTTCATTACCTAGATTATCTATACAAGACAAGCACAATTTAGACAAAACAGTACACTCAAACACTATTCCTGATACAGGCCAGGATGCTGTATACATAAGCATGATATTTCCAAAGAGAAAGTTTAACCTGATCTATGAAAGAAATCACCTGCTTGGTAGAGAAAAGACAAATGGCGCACAAGGTAATGGTTATAAATACATAAAAGGTTCTACCAAGAGAATGAAATAGAATCATAGAATAGTTTGGTTGGAAAAGACCATTATGATCATTTAGTCCAACCGTAAACATAGCATTGCCAAGTCCACCACTAAACCATGTCCTCAAGTGCCACATCTACATGTCCTTTAAATACCTCCAGGGATGGTAACTCCACCACTTCCCTGGGCAGCCTGTTCCAATACTTGACAACCCT